TTTTTTTTTTTTTTTTCCTTTAGGGATTTTAAGCATCCAGTAGCTTGACATTTTGCAAATATATATATCATTTCCATAAAAAGGAAAGCATAGAATTCCAATTATGATGCATATTTTCCTGTTTTCGTTCTAGCATATTTATATTGCTAGAACACAGTATGTATTGTTATGGGTAGAGCTGCAAGTCTGCAACAATTCTAACAATTCGCAAGCGCTTGCTCGAGCTCGAGTTTTCGAATTCGAACTCAAGTGTTTGGCGAGCTGCTCAAATATACAAAAACTTATCTAAATACTCCTAGCTAGTCATTTTTTATTTTTTTTGTTTCAAATTTCAAGTCGAACTCGAGCCGATAGTTCAAGCATTTGTAAACAAAATAAGTCTAACTCGATAAGCTCATGATCGACTGGACTAAGCTAGGTTACAAAACCTAAGTTATGGGTTATTAACTTATTATTATCACTAACTAAACATACAGTTCAAACTAAATATTAATGGAACAATGTATTTGAATTTGATAGATCATACCTTTCCTAGTACACAAATGAGAGAAATCTATACATAAAATATGCAAACTACATGAAAACACAATGGTAAGCCGGAGATCTAAACCGCAACTAAATTCGGTTATTAGAAGTCGAGATAACCCAAAACTCGATCATGTCAACTACCTATTGCCAAAAGACGAACATCATTACAAAAAATCAACTCAAAATGGTACACATACTTCCTCGATAACACCATAGTATAGGCCACAATCTCCGTCGAGGCATAGCCATTCACATAGAAGGTCAGCGTTATTACATTAACTTATTCAAAGGCCAAAATACACAATAATATATACCGCACAATAATATATACCGCACGCCAAAGGAAGCCACCGCTCACGATCACCATCTTTTTCACAAGAAATTCGTAACTTTAGAAACATTCGGAACTTCAGAAAATTCGCTCAAACTTTTAGAAAGTTCGGGACAACACCATACGAAGTAATAACTTCATTTCCCGAGCGCTTGGCGAACCTCCCCTTGACCCTTGGTCTCGTCTCTGCATACGCTTTTCTCGAGGCGTATCGTATGGTTTTCTCAAACTTCCGATTCTTTCTCTTCTCTTTGTACCTCAAAACTCGAGCTTCCCTGTCGACAGCCGAGAGTCGAGTTGGAATAGCAATGGGGTTGTTGCTAGGGAAGGCGTCGGATATTTCGGCCAATGATGTGTGGTCCGGCACAACTCCCACATCTAAGGATGGTGAATCTACCTGCAACAATAATTTAAAAAAGAATTACAAATCTAGTTTTTAGAAAAGATTTAAATATATGGTAAGACATATCCAAGGTTATATTGATAGCTAACCAATTTTAATTTCTAATCAATATTCTCTAAAGATTACATTTTTAGGAAATGCTAAGGTACGGATTCTGCCGGGGGTTGTAACCGTTAGATTATCATGTAACGGTCATGTAACGGTCAGATCAGATAAGATATAGTTGATCTAACGGTGCGAAATAGTTCCGTTACGAAACTGTAGCATCTTCCTTTTTAGGAATTTAGTGTGGTCTCCTCACCAAACCAAACAAGGACCAAGCAAGGAGGCATTCATTTCATTGTACACTGGTGCAATTACTTCACTGAACTAACTTTTAGGCTCTGTTAGCTCCACCAAACAATAGTTAAATTCTGTGAAAAAAAAAATTAATTAACAAACAAATAAATAAATGAGAAATTAAAAGGTATGATGACGAAGATGACATACACTTAGACTAATGGATTGTGAGGTGAAGTTGTAAATGATCGGCTTGGTCAAAGAACCCGGGTGATAATAACCCACGTCGTAAGCCGGAAACCCGTCGACGACAAGACCCGAGTACTGGCCCGACCCGTATTCGTTCTTCCCCTGAACTGGCACAACCCCATCGGTCGAATAATGTTTCTCCTCAGCAATGGCAGGACGACCCGTTTTCGGCTTTCCGGTAACCAACTCGAGGCCCAGATCTGGATCCGTCTCGCCGTACAACCCGCCCGCCGACTTGTACTCGGGCGACCCGGGCTCCTCGCCGAGCTTCCTGTTCGGGTCGGGTAGGAGCCACGAGGCCGCCTCGGCCTCCGCCTCGGATGCCTCCTCGCCGGCGCCGCCGGCGGAGGAGGAGGCAGGGGCGGCGCCGTAGGTGGGCTCTACGGGGACCCGCTCGTGGCGGCGGGCGAGGGGGTTGGCGGAGTGGACGTCGGCGTCGCAGGCGCGGCAGAGCGCGGCGGAGTCGGCCCGGCAGGTGACGGCCGCTGGGGCCTGTTCGCAGACCTCGCACACCGGGACCCGCGGGTGGAGGGCGGCGGATGCGCCGCCGTGGGACGCGGCGTCGCAGGGCGCGCAGAGGAAGGCGGAGTCGGCTCGGCAGAAGGCGGCGGCCGGCGCTGCCTTGCAGGAGTCGCACGGCCGGGCCGTAGAGCTCCAGCTCTTGCACCCCATTTTATAGCTCTCTCTCTCTCTCTCTCTCTAGAATTGGGTAGTCTTCTTTAATTTTACCTCTTTCTTTGTTGATATGTATTTTCTTTTTTCTCTGGTGAGAGGGGAAAACAATGGTGATCTGATCTTTCTTCTCGAGGATTCTAGCGGATACAGAATAATTAAGCTGGGGCGTGAAGTAGACTGTAAAAAACCACTTTTTTTTTTGTTTTTTTTTTTTGTGAGGAAGTATACGTGGCGAAATCTCAGCCAAAAATTAACAAAGGAAGCATTTTCGGGTGGGCCCCACTATAAAAGAGGCGTGAAAAAGTAGATTTCCCATCCTTCTACCTACCTGGATTCACTCCCCTCAATTTATTATTATTATTATTATCATTAATAATATTATTATTATTAAATTTAAAATTTTCAAAATATTAAAACATTTTTGCAATATACGTGCTTTTATTTTTTTACCTTGTTTTCTTGGTAAAATTCAACTTGACTCCATAAATATATATAACTAGTACAGAGTCCGTGCGAAGGTGCACAATTTTCTAGTATGTGTAATAAAAATACATACCGTATGCACGGGACAGAAGCATTAAATGAGTCATTTCCAAAGAGCTTACCCGTTAAGTAGCTCCTGAACACAGATGTACAATATGTAGTACGTACCATAAAATCAGAACAAATTTTCATACGATTAGATAATAAATTAAATAATAAATAAAGTCTTTTTATTTTAGTAAAGATTTTACGTACTTTGTTTTTTTACTTATCAGATATTATGGGATTTTTTTTTGCTAAACCTATTTTATGGAATATAATATAAATACAATTAATTCCATAATGTGATCGTAAAATCTCTCAAAGGTATATGTGAGATAATAAATTCAACTTAAATATTCATACAAATTCTATTATTTTTTTTTTTTTAAAAAAAAATTGAATTTTCAAAATTCGTTACTTGTACACTTTTTTCTTTTTTCAACACATGCCCACACGGAATATTATAGGGAGGTCCCCCAAAATGTGATCGGGAACATATGTTGCAAGTTGTCCTTGTCCAACACTTCAATAATTTCTCAACCATATCTTTTAGATAGGGAAAGTCTAGGCTTTTATATTGTTTTCATTTGTATTTTTGATAACTTAATATCATAAAAAATTGAATAATGGTTTTATAGTTCAAAATCGTTCAATGCAAATTCAACATCCACAATAATATACAAACAAAAGATGCGGGAAATACTACAGTCATGTTACGGAATCATTCCGTCGGAATTTGTAACCGTTAGATGATGAAGACGAGGCCGCGCTAGCATTTCTGGAGAAATACGACCGTCTTCGCGTCTAAATAATTATTATTTATTATTTATTATTTAATTATTTGTTTACTAATTATCTTTTATTTAGTTTCTTTAGTTGTTTGCTTTAATTAGGAAATAAAATCTTTATCTTGCCTAACAAGATAATTAGTAGGAATACATTAGGAAATTAAATCTTTATCTTGCCTAACAAGATAATTAGTAGGAATATTATTAGGAATAGGAGACTTGGGATTTTCCCTATATATATTGTACTCCTATCAAGAGTTTCACCAGTTGATCATTAATAAAATTATATATTCTTCTGGTTTCTTGAACTCATCAAGAACATATATCCCTTTTGTCTACCACATGCTGCATCAGTTGGTATCAGCTGTCGGAACGATCCTACGATGCCGCCAAAGAGGAACGACAACGAATGCCGTGACCATCACCTTGACGATCTGGATCGCCGTACGGATGATCTTGGGTTCCAGATGGAGGGGATGAATCGCCGTGTTGCGGATCTGTCCGAGGGGGTCGAGGAAATCAGGCAGGCTATGCAGACTCTGCTTGCACGGGATCAGGCGAACCGAACCACCACAGGCCGGGGTGGTCGCGGCGGGAGAGGGGGCGGCCATGGCGAAAGGGGACCGGGGGGCGCGCCGCGCTCGCGGTCTCCACGGTCGTCGCACGGCCTAGACAGCGACACCCCGACGGTGGAGAACCCTTTCGGTTACCGTCGGGCCCGGTACGAGGACAACGATGGCGAGTACAGCATGGAGGAGGGGATCTTCAACGAGGAGGACGACGGCCGGACCGCGCGGCGCGGCGGCAATGAGAGCCGCTGGGAGGCCTCTTTTCGTGTCGAGGTTCCTGAATTCACGGGCGGTCTCGACGCCTTTGAGTTCCTTGACTGGATCGCTGCTGTCGAGTCTATTCTCGACTTTAAGAATGTACCAGACACTCGCCGAGTGGCCTTTATTGCCACACGACTGCGGGACCGGGCTGCGGCTTGGTACGATCAATTGAAGGCGGCGCGACATCGCATGGGCAAGCCTAAGATCACCTCCTGGGCGAAATTTCGTAAGCACCTTGAACGTGAGTTTTTGCCGTTTAATTTTCGTCGAACTATCTTTCAGAAACTCCAGAATTTACGGCAAGGCCCACGTTCGGTTGATGACTATACGGGGGAGTTTTATCGTTTGCTCACTCGGGTTGATATTCGTGAAACCCAAGATCAGATTATTTCTCGTTATGTGGGGGGTTTGCGTTTGTCAATCCATGACACACTGAATTTATTCGTCCCGGTTTCTCTTTCCGACGCACACCAACGGGCCCTTATGATCGAGCAACAACAGTCTAGGCGGTCCTTGGGGTTCACGATGCCTGGACGTGGGGCACCGGCTACGGGTCGGAGTGTCGGGCCTGGGCCATCCTCCGGGCCGCCAGCGTCAGCTACGGATGCGCCGCGGACGGTGGGTTCGTCTTCAACAGGAGCGGCGTCGGGTGGTCCTCGCGTCGGGGCGGGGCCGCGGTGTTTCGGGTGTGGCGAACAGGGCCATATTAGGAGTGCGTGTCCGCGCGGGTCCACTTCGCGGGCCATGTTTGCCGAAGAGGATTATGGTGAGTCGGGCGAGTTGTACGATGGGCCGCCGGTTTATGACGAGGAGCCGGAGATTGTGGAGGAGCATTATACGGGTGATGTGGGCCGAGCTCTTGTCCTGCGGCGTGCCTGTTTGGCGCCTCGGGATACGGTCTCGGAGCCTTTGGAACGCCATCGTATTTTTGAGTCCACATGCACGGTGGGAGATCGCGTGTGCACTTTTATCATCGACTCGGGTGCATGCGAGAATGTGATTGCGCAGACGGCGGTTGATAAGCTCCGCCTCCCGGTTGTGGCTCACCCTCAGCCATATTCACTTGCGTGGATTCAGAAAGGGAGTGCGGTCACTGTGGATAAGCGGGTGTTGGTGCATTTCTCGATTGGCCCGCGTTATCGTGATGAGGCTTGGTGTGATGTCGTCCCGATGGATGCTTGCCACTTGTTGTTGGGTCGCCCATGGCAATTTGATCGGGGCGTCACTTTTGACGGGCGCCTCAATACGTATAACTTTCTGTTTGGAGGTGTTCGGATTGTGTTGCATCCGGGTCCCGCTCGTCCCTTGCCTGAGGCGTCGCCGTCCGAGCCACCACCGGCATCGCCGGTTTTGTTTTTGTCCCGGGCCGCGTTCGCGGCGGAGATGACCAGCGCCCCTACCGTCTTGGTTCTCTTGGGCGTCGACTCTGCGCATGACCGGGAGCCACCGGCGGCTATTGTGCCCCTACTCGGTGAGTTTT